TTTAAATCCTGTTTTTTTTTTTTTTTTACTCTTCTTACTACTACTTCTCCTCTTCTCTTCCATTTTCTTCCTCTTTTTCCTTGTTCTTCATCCTCTTCTTCTTCTTCCCAGTTCTCTTCTTCTTTCTCATAATTTCTTCACAAAATGTTCACGATAATGATGATGATAATGACAATGATAATTACAATGTTATTAAAAGGATGACCTGATATTATTAAATGATAATGAAAGCGGTGTAATAGGCATGGCAATAATAAAAAGTAGTAATAATGATAATAGTAATAACGGAAGTGATAATGGATGATAAGAATGATGAAATGCCATGATAATTAACAACAGTGATAAGGAAGGTAATTAATAATAAAAGAATAAACACACACACACACAAAAAAAAATAAACATGATTCTAAAAAAAAAAAAAAAAAAATAATAATCCTACTTCACTAAAAAACGATTTAACAAAAACTTTTTAAAAGAGTATAAGAAGTATAAGTATCTCTTTTTATCCCAATCTCCAGCCTAAGACACCGCCCCCCCCTCCCTCCCACTCCCTGTACCACCACCCTAGCTCCCCATTACCCCCCCCCGCTCCCCTGACCCCCCGCTCCCCTGTACCCCCCTCTACCCACCCCTCTCCCCTGAACTCCCCTGTACCCTCCTGCACCCCTTCCCCACCCCCACCCCCCATGTCCACCCCCTCGCCCCCTGTACCCCACCCACCACCCCATCCACCCCCCTCGCCCTTCCCACCCCCACCCCCCCCATCCACCCCCCTCGCCCTGTACCCCCTCGCCCTTCCCCACCCCACCCCCTGTACCCCTCCAGCTCCCCTGTACCCCTTCCCCACCCCCACCCCCACCCACCCCATGTACCTCGCCGGAGACAACTTTTGCTCCGTCTCCCGAGTCGAACAATGAACGAGCCGCCGTAACTTGGTTGAACATGTTGCAGAGAGAGAGAGAGAGCAACGGGGGGAAGGAGGTCAACCAGCCTAACTTTCCTTAAGGTTTATCAGGGATGAGATGGGGTGGATTTTAAAAAAGGGTGGGGGGGGTGGGGGGGTGGAGGATGGGTGGGGGTGAGGGGAAGGGGTGGGGGTTGGAGGATGAGGGGAAGGGGTGGGGTGAGGGGAGGGTGGGGAAGGAGGGAGCGGGGTAGGTGGAGGTAGGAGGATGAGGGGGGGCTGGGGGGTTGAGGATGAGGGGAGAGAAGGAGATAGGAGGAGGGGAGGGGGACTGGAGGGAAAAGGAGAGAATTATGGGGTACGAAGGGAAGGGAGGGGAATGAAGGGTAGGAGTTAGGCTGGAGAGAAAGGGAGAGGAGGATGGAGAGAAGGAGATAGAAGGATGGGTAGAGAGAATAGTAGGGGGTGAAAGAGACTGGGCTTAAAGGAAGGATGGAAGAAAAGAAGAAGGTAAAGGAGACCGTGAGAGAATGGAGTGCGAAGAGAGGGAAGAGGAAGGAAAAGGGAGATGAGACGAAGAGGTAATAGATTAAGGAAAAGGGAGAACAGACAAGAAAAGGGAAGAGACGGAGAGGATAGAGAACGGGAAAAGAGGATAGATGAGATATGGGAAGAGAGGGAAGTTGGAAGATGGAGTTAGGCAAGAAAAGGAAGAGAGACAGCAGAGGATAGGGCAGATAGCGAAGGAAGGTAAGAAGAAGAAAAGGAACTTAAAGAAGAGAGGGAAAGGGAAGAGAGCGATGACCGGAAAGAGAAAAAAGAAGGAGAGGGAAGGGAAACTACGGTAAAGTGCGAAATGCGAAGTGAAATAGAGATAATAGAGGTAAAAAGATTAAAAGTTTTAGAAATAGAAAGAAAACTAAAATACATATTAAACACGAGAAATGATAAACTAAAAAAAGGGAAGGAGACGCATCTAAAAAGCATAATCATAATAGAGCAAAGAGACCATTAAGATAAATTTAAAAAATGCATTAAAAACACGGATTAAAAAAAAAGAGAGAGAGAGAAAAAAAAAGTGAATACCCAAAACCACAAGAGGAAAAAAAAATCAAAAACAAAAAGAACCAAAAAAAGAAAAGAAAAAAAAACAGCCCTCGGTGAAATAACTTTTTTGTTATTTTACCTTGCGATAACCTGTGCGCGCGGTATAGCAATTTTTTAAACCTTGGCACCTGGCATTGTTTTAGCTTACCTGTTGTTTCTCGTTGTTTTGGTTGTAAAAGAGCGTTATTTCGTGTTAGCTGTGTGGGTGTTCAGCCGTCTGATGTGTTTATGTCTGTTGTTTATGGTTTCATGTGTGTGTGTGTGTGTGGACGAGTGAGGGAGAGGGAGAGAGAAGAGAAGGTGGGAGAAAGGAGGGAGGAGGTGGGTGATGGTGGTGTGTTTTTGTGTCTGTTTGTGTGTGTATGTGTTTGTGTGTGTTTGTGTGTGTGTGTATGTATGCGTGTGTGTGTGTTTGTGTGTGTCTGTGTGACTGTGTATGTGTTTGTGTGTTTGTGTGTGTGTGGGCGAATGAGGGAGAGGGAGAGAGAGAGGAGAAATGAGGGAGAGGGGAGAGGGGATGGGGAAATAGAAATGAGGGAAGAAAGAGGAGGAGGGGAGAGGGTGATGGGGGGAGATGAAGAATAGGAAAAGGGGGAAGAGGAGTAAAAGAGAGGAAAGAGAAAGAGGACAGAAGTATTAGAAGGATAGAGAGCGAGGAAAGAGGAGAGATAGAGAGAGGAGGAGAAAGGGAGAGAGGTGCGAAGTGGATACGAAGGAGCGAAGAGATGATGACAGAAAGAGAGAGAGAGGGAGAGAAAGCGAATAAGCAGACAGACAGAGAGAGCCAGGGGGAAGTAAAGAAAGATAGAGAGAGAGAGATAGAGGAGGGGAGCAGGGATGAGAGATAAAGAGAGAAAGGGGGAGGATGAGGAAGAGGAGAGAGAGAGGAAAGAGAGAGAGAGAGAGGAGAGAGAGAGAGAGAGAGAGAGAGAGAGAGAGAGAGAGAGAGAGAGAGAGAGAGAGAGAGAGAGAGAGAGAGAGAGAGAGAGAGAAAGAGAGAAAGAGAAAAAGAGAGAGAGAAATTGCGGGGGAGCCAGAGAAATGTAGACCAAAAACAAATCTTTAAGTTCAGTTTATCCACGCGTTTCCGTGTAGCCATGGGAGTATGTGTGTGTGTATGTGCGTATCACCTTCACGTGTATGTATGTACGTGTATGTGCACCCGAAAACACCCCTTGACATGCTCTTTAGCCTCAAAGATTGATTTAGTTACATGCTCTGGAATTACAACTTCGCGGCCAGGTCGAGTTAGGTCAGAATAAACAGTTAGACGTAGAGGTCAAATGCATATATTACGAAAGAAAGAAAATAAACAATATAAGCATAACGGAGGGATTGAAATAGAGAAAATAGAAATGCAGGGAAATGAGGAATTAGAGAATAAATGAGAAAGAGGGAGAGGAAATAAATTTAGGTACTAATGTATGGATCAAAGGGGAAAGAAAAAAAAAGTAGGAAAAATAGTATTGAAAGAAAAGAGAGACAACGTTTACGCACGAAAAAGGAGTGAAATAAGGAAGGAAAGAAATACAGACAAGATACATAATAAACAGTAATAAAAGTAATAAAAGGAGAGAAGGA